CCCCCAGCCATTAGGAAGCTGCTGAGGGGTTGGGGGAGGGACAAGAGGTGGGAACGAAAGTAAACAGCGTTCACTTTTGTTTCCCGTCGCAGCACTGCGGGCCACAGAATACGGCTTGGCAGGCCGCAAAGTGGCCCGCGGGCCGTATGTTGGACAAGCCTGGGTTAAATGCTTTTGCATCACTTTAATGGTGTTGGTGTTTGCACGCATTAGCGGCATGTTCCGCAGTAATTTCAGCCGCTGTAGCAAATTTGGTGGCATAATGCACCTTAAATGACTCGGGGTGCAGCAAAATAAAACTCTGAGGAGTTTTAGTTTTCTGCCCCTACAGCCACAGAGTTCAGGGGCTCTGCAGGAAGCCCAGCAGGCAGCCTGACAGCAGCCGAGGAAGGCAGGCTCCACCCAAGAAAAAAGCAGTAAGCCTAATCTTTTTTTTTCTCCCTTCCCTGGAGCCTGCCTGCCTGCATGAGCTGCACAGGGACCCAGTGCTTCCCTCCATGGCTGTAGTGTCCCCTGGGACCACCCAAGCCAGGTGTCTGTGGGTGGGGGCCACCTGAGGTGGGGGGCCGCCGCTGCTGCAGAGGGAAGCACCAGTCCCCCCTCCCCCCTGGAGCCCAGGGACCACTCTGCCCGCCGGCAGCTTGCCCTCCCCTCCCTGCTACTGGAGAGGCAGGTAAGTCCAGGTGTGTGCATGACACAGGGGTTTAAAGGGCCCTAAATTGAAGCGGTGTTTTTAAAAACCCACCACTTCAATTTAGGACCCCTGCTTTGTCACACACCCTTAACTATTAGCTAATTTGGGTAAAAGGTGGGCACCACCACCTTATGCCGAAATCAATGCTGTTTCCTCTCAGGTTAGATACACTGTTAGACATCCACTCTGAGTGAACTGGATACCAATAGGATGCCTCCACTCTTAATGAATCTGATCAAGCTGGCTGGGAATGTATAAGGCTGCCCATAACTCTGTTCATTATGGGTGCAGACAGACGTGCTGCTCCCAGCTGTAACTCAGAATGTTTTTTGCCAAGTGTTCTGAGTTACAGCGTTACTCCAGACCAAACAGAAGTTCACTGCTGGTTTCGGGGAGCCTGCAGTCAGGTTCCCATAGCAATGGCCACAGCTCTCTGCCAGGGGGGAAAGGCAGCAGAGGGAGCTTGTTCTTGGGGCTCCTCAGGCAGTACTGAAGGGTGGAGTGGGTGAATTGGAGCCCCTTCACCTCCAAGGACTGGAGAAAATTTTGCTCTAAGGAGGGAGGGCTCCAAAGAGGGGGGGACTCCAGTTCACCCACCCCACCCCAAAACCCCAAGACATAACTCTCTCCACTCCCTTTCCCGCCTCCCATTCTGAAAACAGCAACAGGCTGAGGGCTGCACACACAAGTTACAGAAGATGCTACTTTTTGGAATGTCTTTGTCAGATACCTATTGCAGTGAGGAGTCAGATTTTTCACCCGATTTGGCCATTTTTTTAAGCTGTTTGCAGCCATGCACTTGTGTTTGGTCATGGCTATAAACTGCTTTCTGTGGATAAATAGGGCAAACATTGTCACTTCTGTCTGCACCCTGAGAGAATGGGGAACATATGTGTGTCTCCTAGAGGAGAATATGATTGCCTCATAAAGCACACTAGGCTGCCCATTGAGAAATAGGAGACTTGGGTGTCTTAGAGTTGGAAGGAAATTTCTTTCCTGAGTCTTAATGTGTAGGTTTGAGGTCTAAGATCCATGGCCAGATTCCTACTTATCCCAAGGCTAAATTAGTTTGTCTGACTGATCCTGTCAAAATAGAAAGATGGCGTTACACCAAATGAAAGATTATCTGTTTTTTTGTAGCTCATTGACCTAAAGGTGGGTTAAAATTAAGTCAATCAAGAAAAAATCTGTAGCAGAATCTCAAATTTTTGTACACTGAAAAACAATTCACATCCTAAATTCACTACAACATGTTGTTGCATTTCATCACTATTCTCAAGCTTTTATTTTCTTTTTTCAATGTCTACCTTTGTAACAATTACTATTCTAGCCTGTTCATAATGCACAATATTCAGTAACATGGCTTTGATTGCATGGTTTGGCTCAGGATGGTCAATGATGTAAAAGGTCAGTGGGTAGTTAGGAAGCAATGTTAATCAGTGTGATGAGCTTTTATGCCATTTTACTTTGTATAAGAACTGATTACAGCCAGTCAGGTTACACCAGTTTACACCAGTTAGTTGAACATCTGGCCCAATCCAAATCTAAGTGATTTCAAAATTAGGGTACATAGGAAGAGAAATGGAGAAGCAGGAATTTGCTCAGTGTTTTAAGTATTTCATAATGATTGAATTACTTGAAGTTAAATTGTGTGGCAAATATGGGAAATATGTACGGTAAATATACCCTAACTATGAAATATTAGGCAGAATCTTTCTCCTCATTCTATAGACCAGGGATGACCCACCTACAGCACACATGCCCCAAATGACACAGTTAACCTCCATGGGCGCATCCACACATGCAAGCATGTGTGCTTGCAACAGCTCAAATAGAAGCGGTGCAAATTTGAGCCGGGGCTTTTTGTCCCAGCACACGTGCTTGGACATGCACTTTGTTGTGGAGCAAATTGTGCCACTTGGGGCAAAATAACTCTGCCTGGCTCCTCCCGGATCTACAGCCAGGGGGCGCTAGAGCCTGGGGCCAGCACCTGTGCTGTCCCCAGCAATATAAAAAGCTGCCCTGTCCTGGCCCCACCAGTACAAAAAGCTGCCCTGGCAAATAGCTCAGAGCTACTCGCTCTCAGGAGCTTCTGGGGCCCCAGCCAATTGATACCTGAGGACACTACCCCTTGTGCCAGCTGAACTGCTGAAGCAGCCCTGAGAGTTCCCTGCACCGTCTACCCACTGCAGGGATCTGGCAGTGGGGGCTGCTGCCTGGCTGTGGCCTGCTGTTCACCTGCCAGACTTGGATGAGGCATCTGCCCCTCTGGGCCAGCTGCCAGCAGCTTTACTGCCATGTGGCCCCTGTCCAGCCATCTGGGCAGCTATCACCCAGAAGATGTTCCCAGTGTGGTGGCCTGCTTTGTACTGTCAAAGCATGTCCTCCTGGCCCCATTTGGCCAGGAGGTCAGCCACAGCCAGATGAGTCCAAGGTATCAGCTCTGAGCAGGCAGGCTCCTGCCACTGGCCTCCCTAGCACAAATTCTGGTGTTCCCTATTGGAAAACTGAAAAATCCCTGATAAAAAAAATCCCAAAGTCACTCTGTAAAATACCCCAAAATCCATGTTCCTCCACAAGTAAAACAAAAGACCACTATAAAGAGAGAGAGAGAGAAAGCGAGACAGAGAGTGATCAGTTGGGCAATGTTTTATTGATGTATCTACAGTGTTAAAGCACTGGTTGTTGGGCGGCTACGGCCACACAGGGGTTACGGCTCCCTAACAGGGGCTAAATGGCCCCCACAGGGGCTACCACTCCCCCCCGCAAGGCCCACATGCCCCACCCCAGCCCCCAAATTGCTGCCCTACCTGGCTCCATCCCCTGCCAGCTGCCGCAGCTGCCCCAATGGCTGGCCCCCCCCGCCCCCATCCCCCCCCCCCCCGGCCCCCCCCAACGCC